CCGTAGTACCATTTCAAATCATATTGACAAACATTTTCAGTTTTTTTTTTTTTTTTTTCTGATCAGGTTTTAGAGGGAAGAATGTTGTCTTCGTTTGTTAGTGAACCAATCTCTCACGCCTTCTCATTGGACGAATGTGGCCATGTCTGTATATAAGAGGGGACTAAGGGAATGCAAGAGGGGGCCAGAGCGTGGAGAATTGGTGTGGAGACACATAGAGTGTTTTTCTACGAGGTTTTTCCGTGTCTGGCTGGGTCGCTTCGCATCCCGGTGTCACCCGAGTCCGATCCCTGCCAACGCTACAATAAAGATAAGTGCTGTTTTATTTTATTTAACAAATCGTGAGTTGTTTTTATCTCCTTTTTGTTGTTAGTGTTGTACTCTTGAGTGTACGCTTTTCTGTGTATTAAGGTACATTTAATTTAGGCCCTAGCATATTCCTTTTTTTTTGTGTGTTAACCCGCAAAAGTATTAGCTTTTGTCACCATCTTATTACAAAATACCAAACGATGGATAATTTGACTGTTTACTTTTATTACGTTTTTTTTTTTCTGGTTTCTTGGAAACCTAATTAACGAATCTTTACTGTATTTAAAATATTAATAAATTGTTGAAATTATATTTTTTTATGACAATAATTATATTTTAAAATTTAAAATGCAAGCTTTGAAGTGAGAGAAACGCTTTTCTACAGCCTTCTATCAAAGAGATTTTTTGACTATTTCTCAACTAGTATTGGGTGAAACACTACGTACGTAAATATGCAAACTGTAATAGTTAAGAAATAGTCGATATCTCTTTGAGAGAATGCTGTGGAATAGCGGTTCTCGATCTTGTGAAAGCTTGTATTTTAAAATTTTAAAAATATACATATTGTGTAAACAAATCTTTTAGATTAATCAAATATAAATCTCCGAGGATAAGTTTCTTTATTACAATTTTGAACCTCGGAGATTTATATTGGATTAATCTAATTGATACAGAGGATTATAATTCTAACACAAATCTTTTATCATTTCTTTCACAATTTTACCTTGAATCATACATCTGTGGTATAGGCTATAGTACGATAAATATTTAGTCTTACACTAAAATAATAAAAATATTATCAGAATACCGTTTGATCTATTGAGAATTGTGTGTGAAATTATTTTATAGTCCTCAGTCAATGGTTACTCGTATAATGAGCAGGATGATAAACACCATTTACATCTTCAGCCTGGGAGACTCACCCCATCGTTTGATCTATCGATGGGAGAGAGACTCAAAACCCGAACTAAATGTTCTAATCTCACTGAAGATTATCAATATGTATATTTTCATCTTAAAAAGGATTTCTACGTTTGTTTTTAATAATAAAAAAGTGTGCTATAGATGAAATAAATATTTTAAAAAATAGTATCCCCCCCCTCCCCTTATTTACTCCTTGTGTGTGATTTTAAATTTATTACATAAAATTATCTAATGGGTTGTTGATGTAGTATTTCACAGACCAACATCAAAATTAGGTCACGAAGAATGTATATACAGCCACTGATAGGGCTTTGACGACTGGCGGCGGGGTACCTACACCATTGGAATACAAGAAATAACATTTCGCTCAATTTATTGATTTTTCACTGTTAAATAATTATTTAAATCAAATATACATATAATAATAGCTTCTCTAGGGCAATTTGCAATGATATTCTTTAAAAGCGACAATATTTCACGCGCCACCAGGCCAATGGATCAGCAAAAACGTGCTATGTCAACATTGCATGCGGATCCATCGGTCTGTTGAAGCGTTGACGCTTGAGAGTTTGCTGTTTTAAACCATAAAAGAAACTCATTGAAAATTGTCTTATGGATATTTACATTACTAGTGTCTTATAGATGGCGTTGGTTGACAAAGTCCACTGTCTATAACTCTAGAGTGCGGTAATCCTGTGTGAAACTATCCCAGATATCTACCTCATCTGTCTGTCTCAGCTTACAATGAACCTTTTTCTACCCTTCATCAGGTGTGTCCATGTTTGTAGATACATTCAAGTCGTAAATTTATAAATATTTATAAGCGCGACGCCTCATTTTAATAATTAAAGACATAGATTCCTTTTGGTTCTAATTCTTTTATTGATTTAAAATAAAAAAGATGAGCTCCCCAAGCCTTTCCTTAAACTGCACTTAATGTGGACTATGGCAGGGTATTTAAGTAAACTATGAGATATTCAATCAATATATTGCCATATAGTCCACAATAGATGCATATTAAAGAGGGGGGCGGGTGCAAAAATTCATCTTTCTTGTTTTAAAGCAATAGAAGAATTTAAGACAAAATGGAAAGATATATCTTTAATTATAAAGTCGACTATGTGTAGGGCCCCAATTTAGTTCTTTAAATAAGTAAATAGCATCAATAAGTAATACATATTTCAAATACTTTATCTTAAAATAATGACTTTATAGTTGAGGCCTTTGTGATTTCCATCTTAAAGGACAAAGGGATAACTTGGTTTGACCACTAACTACAGCGCTTGTTGCTAGAGAACAGAACGGCACAGTTGATTCGCCTACTTAAGACTTAAGACTGAATCTAAGACAGAGATTCACAAGATATCCCGAGTCCTGAATACAATTCTTATATAAACACTAATTGTGGACTGACACCTAGCATATTTGAGACCAGATCGCCCTAATATGAAGATTTTCAAATTCCCCATTTCATCTTTTAAAATGATGAATATCTATCCTATTTAAGATCTAAAAACCTAACTAGAGCGTTAGTACTTATTTTACTGTCTTAGTTATTAAATTTACTTCCATTGAACAACATTTTAAGACCGAGAATATCAGTTTCCCCGGTCTGGTGTTATGACGAGCGTAAGCAGAGCGGTAGCTGCTGCCTCCAGAGACTCCGCTGTTAGCTGCTATCAAATTACCCCAGAAGTGATGGGGCGGCGCACAATCAGATTAGAGAATTGCGGTCCCTTGAGGCGGCGATACACGTGCGGTGATAGATGGCTCGAATTGTACCGACAATTTATTTCCCGATGTCGGCCGACATTTCATAAATTTAAAACTACGTTGACGAGCTGGGAAGACTTTCCATCCACAGTGGTGCCGCCTAGATCGTCAGAATTTTTATAGAAGGTCTTGAAATGGCCAAGAAGAGCCTTCGAGAGACACGAATGTACTTACAGAGATAGGGTTTAACCCAGAGTTTGATCATGGAGAGATTCATAATGTAGACTTGAAAAAAAAATTAATCGTTTTATGTCACATGACGTGAATTACAGCCGCCTAAAAGGTACCCATTTATTGGTTCTGGTAATTACGGGCTCAAATCCTATCCTGCACGTTAGCCAAGAGTGTCATTCAAGATATAGTCACTCTTCGATGGTTCTGGGAAGTTTCTTGTGTTCAAGACATTATAACAGACGTTTTTATCGTACCTAACTAAAATATCGTGCGAGAAAAACGTCTTACCCATAAGTAAAGAGCATGTCATATCTGCAGAGCGACCATGGCTGGGCTACACTCAGTATCGTTCCAACTTTAGTAGGTTTGCTTGGATAATGGTGAGGATAGGGATGGAATAATTCCTATTTATATATAAGTGGAGATAGCCACGGCCTCATTATACATTATTGACCAATGTTTTATAATTGGTATATATTCAGAAATTCTCAAATATGTTTCAAATATCAAGATTTATGCCTTCAAACCAAACACCAAATATGTAATTATCATTCGGAAAAAATGTCCTTTCGATTCCACACGGCCGGCAGTCAGTGTTGTTTGATTCAGCCCCTAATTCCCTTCTAGGTACAATTCTTGTATAGCGCCAGGAATATACTGAAACTTTAAATAGGTCTCCAACTGAACATCGGTTAGGAACTTCACATTCGCCACATTAGAAGACTCATTAGTGTTGTTAATGACAAACGCATTAAGAAATCCTCACCGCTGCAATCATCTTTCACCACAGTTGTCATGTCCGCCACGAGCAGAAGGAACAAACAGCAGTTAAACTCGGGTCACGATCTGCAAGTAACTGCAGTCACGTCGTGAGGAAAGGAAATATCCTGGAGGCATGTGGGAGTAGGAGGCCAACTCACCTCTCTGTGCGCATTCCTTGTTTCCTCATCTCCTGACACCCAAGATACCCCAAATGTCAGATGTGCGATGTAAAATAATATGTGCCTAAATATACGTGCGGATTATTTATAAAGAAACAACACAAGAACTATATGTGTGTGAATTTACATGTGTAGAGTTTTTACGCAAGTTTGACATACCTATTTTTTGATTTCTCAAAAAGCCTCTGAGACCAAAAACATTTTTGGTCACAGTGGTACAGCCACTGTTGGTCCATGCTGACAAGGACCAACAGCCCGAAACGCGTTCGTGGTAGGCTTTTCTTGATATATTAAGAAAATGGGTTGGCCAAATATCAGGGAATAGGCTAAATCAACGTTTAGTTGATTTCTGTTCCACTAGATGGCGCTCTGCCATCTAAAAAGCTCATGTGCTCGTGGTCAGGAAATGCCATTTTTGATTTTAATATATATTAACAAAAATTAACATATTTAACAATTTTATCCAAAATATTAGAGTAAAAATATCTCATTTTAATAATATACCAACAGCTAACCTCATTTGTTATTCGTGAAGAAAGAACATCTTATATATCTCTCCGGGGCTCAAAAATCATTCATTTTGGTTAGCAGCCCCGTAAAATAAAGATATTTTCTCTCTCTCTATCTCTCCCTGAATTATCACGCGCTATTTGTGTGATTGTTACTATTTCTTTGAACGTGTTTTACAGCTTATAACGAAGGCATTTTCATGTTTCACGATCTCTCATTTCCTACTATAACAATTAATTATAAACGATATATGTCTAACCAATTACTATAACAGTTATCAGCGTCATAATCAATTCTTTCTTAATCAATTCTGTCACCGTTTGCTTTTGTGAATGGAATAAATACCCAAATATGGCCATTTCTCATAAAAAATCGGTGGTTCAGTGGTAAAATGCCCGCCTGCCATGCGGGCCGCCCGTGTTCGATTCCCGGCCGATGCATTTTTTTTTTTTTTACAATTTTTAAAACTCATTTATATATTATACAAGAATGACATCCACGGCGCCAATTTATAATTGCCACGAATAGTATTTGAATAAAAGCATTTAATCGGGTAAAACCCGGGCGTTGCCCGGGTCATTCGGCTAGTATATTATAATCATTGCTGCAAAAAACTCTTGAAAGTCGATGGTTAAATTATTTATTTGTGACACAATTACCAAGATGCCAATTTTTGATAAAATTGTAATTAACAAATCTGGTTTCCCTATAAAATAAACAATAAATATTCCTTAATTAAAAAATAACTTATACTGAATCGAATCGTTTTTATGTGAACATGCAATTTTGTCAACCATTCTTCAATATTTGTGAATTTACTCTATTATTGTGTAGTTTTGTGATTAAAATACAGTCTACTCTCGTTATAACGCCACCATCCGGATTTTGCAAAAAGCGGCGTAAGGCGAGGGTGGCGTTGTATTGAACACGTTTAAAATGTGAAATTGAAAGATACAATAAATTATTTATAACAATTACTAAAAACAACTTATACCCTAAGTCAATATATATAGAATGCCGGCATTAATTAATCAATATGACAAATAGGAATAATTAATTTATAATTTATTCATAAAAAGTAATTACATTTTCTTGAAGAAGTCTGTGATCACAACTTGTGTTTTCTCTCCCTCGCTTATGGCATAGACACGGCGTAACAAATCCGCAGATAGATTGACGTCGTCAGATGTTGCTCTCTTGGAGTGATCAAGAAACAACAAAACTGTCTCAGCAGCTGTTCTGGCTTCCCTTAACGATGGTAGGCGCTGGGTCACTGTTGCATCATCATCCTCGCCAAGTTCTTCTTTCGCTGTAACAGTGGACACCAGAAAATTGTCATCTGTTAGCTTCATTTGCGCCTCCTGGGAATCATCAAACAGTTGAAACTCCCTTTCAGTCATCAAATTCTCTGGTGTAATAGCGAAGATGTCGCGAATGCGATCGAGCAGATTTCCATAATTAAGAGGCTCAGCTGCAGCAGTAGAAGTGAAGCGAATAATGCCTGTGTGATTCCAGCAGTTGCTGATGGAATCAGGGCTCACAGAATCCCAAGCCATTTTACAATAGCGCACAGCGTAATCCAGACGTAATTCTGTGGGTAGATGGGCATCCGCCAATTCCACCATTTTCTGGAGTTGAAGCTTGCGATATTGAGCCTTGAAACTTTTGATGATGCCACTATCCAGTGGTTGCAGACTGGCAGTCATATTTGGTGGAAGGAAGTGTATCTTTATGTTGCTGAGACCATCATTAGGGACGCAGTGAGACGTAGCGTTATCTAACAAAAGTAGGATACGACATCTTTCAGAGACAAGCTGCTTGTTGACTGCAGTAGCCATTCTTGAAAGATGCTAGAGGTCATCCATGCTTTGCTGTTAGATGTGTAGGTGCAGTAGAAGTGTGGACTAAAGTTTCTGAAGCATCGAGGCTTTGCTGATTTTCCAATAATCAGCAATCGCCGCTTGTCTGTTCCAGTAGAGTTGCAGCACAGTAGAACAGTGATTCGTTGCTTCATCTTTTTGACACCACGGCAGTTTTCATCTTTGTGAGCAAGTGTTCGGTCAGGAATGAGCTGAAAAAATAATCCTGTTTCGTCTGCATTGTATATGTTAGCTGGATCATATCCGGAGTTCGCCAGAATACTGTTCAAATTTGTAAGATGTTCATCAATGATAGCTGGAGAAATCGATGCGCCTTCCCCACAGAGCCGTGCGAAATATGGAATCTCCCTTTAAATCGCTGCAGCCACCCACTGCTGTACGCGAAATTTTCTGGTACGTCCAAATGCTCGCCAAGTTTTTTTTGCCTTTTCTCTTAAGAGATCACCAGTAATAATAATATTATTGGCACGCTTTTGGGTAAACCAGTTGAAGAGAGCGTCTTCCAAGTCACTAAATTTTCCGACTCTTTGTCTATTTGAAGAACCAAAAGTATAATTTTCCCACTTCTCAGCCTGAGTGAGAATATCACGGACAGTTGTTCGTGGAAGTGAGAAACGCTTTCCAATCTCATTCTTCGACATCGTAGGGTTATTTCTTGCCAACTGGCATATCTCCTTCTTCTTTTCAATGGTGATCGACTCACGTTTACACTTTTGGGAATTCATGATACGACAATAAAGTTGTTGTGTTGACGTTAGCAAAGGATCAAGCGACTGTGTATGTCCCAGGAACAAGCAGGAAAAGGATCTTCTGGCTGTTCACACAATCTGTTATCTGTTGTGTCAACAGCAAACAAAGTCCTGCGCCGTTGGCGTAAAAAATGCAGACAGGAAAGGGGGAGTGGGGGGTGAGGGACGTTGTGAGCGGCGCTATAACGAGTGGTTTTTGCTACTTGGGATACGAAAAATCAGCGGCGGAAGGCGAACAGCGAGGGAGTGGCGTTATATCGAGAAAAATACATTGATGTCGATTGGGACAAAACGAAAAAGCGGCGTAAGGCGAGGGTGGCGTTATATCGAGTGGCGTTATAACGAGAGTAGACTGTATATATAAATATTTCAATATTACTAATTTTTATTGTGTGAAAATATGAAAGATAAAATAAAGACATAAGCAATGTTATTCAAGATGCCATTTTTTAGAAATACAAATTGCCAAAAGCGGGAACAAAAGCTTCGGAAAATTGTTCTTCTTCTTCTTTCTTATCTCCACTCAATCATATTAGGGTATCAAGCGCTTGTAAAGCTTAAGACTTGGAAACCATCAAGCTTGGGTGAAGTAGAATGCGTCTGCCTTTGTCATTAAGACTGGGAGCACTACTCAGTGGCAGGCCGACTTTGCTCCAAAAGAAATGGCCGCCTCTGACATGAGGAACTGACACCATGTGCGGCCGCTCCTAACATGGAGTACAAACGCTGCTCATCCTGTATCCCTGGATTAGGAGCCCTTACAGCAAGCATGTCAAACTCAAATCCTAACACGGGCCAAATAAAAAAGTAATAAGATTATGTGGGCCGCAAAAAAAAGAAAACAAGTAATTAAATTTTTATAATAACATTTATGTAGGTTTATTTTAAAAAATACTAATAAGAAAAAAGAAAGTAAAGTTAATATTTTCTCCCTGATATTTGGCATCTCTTTTCTGCTACCATCTTTCCTACTTCGGGGGAAATCTTGTTCGCAGTGATTAATTTTAAAACTGACCCAAGGTGAACGTCAGTAATTCTCGATCTGATTGGAGACTTATTTCCTTTCATAAGTGAAAATAACTGCTCGCACCGATAAGTACTTCCAAACATGGGCATAATTTCATATGCTAATTTTCGAGTGTTTTCAAATCTGGCTGGCAAATATTTGTAAAATTCAGAAACGCCAACTTCAATGAATTTTGCCTTTAAATCTGAATCGCACTGGATATCTATTACCTTCATTTGCATATGATTAGTTACTGATTCTATATTTATCGAGAAAATCGAAGAAAACAAAGTAAACTTGCCTTCCAAAGATTTGAAATCAGAAAACCTTGTTTCAAATTCATTTCTAAGACTTAAAATTTTTTCCGCATATTTTTGATACGATGCAGTTTCACCTAAACTTGATTTGTACATGTTGCATGTCGGAAAGTGCATTAAATCTTCGTTTTTCAACTGCTTTTCCCAAAGAACTAGCTTACATTTGAATGCATTAACTTGGTCACACATGTTGGTAATGATCTGATCCTTTCCTTGCAGTTTCAAATTTAAATCCGACAAGTGTTTTGTTATGTCAACCATGAAGGAAAAATCTTGCAACCATACTTGATCAGAAAACAAAGTGATGTCTTGATTCTTGGTTATTAAAAACTGACATATTTCTTCTTTCAAGTCCCAAAATTGTTTGAGAACCTTGGAGCATGATAGCCAACGTACCTCGGTATAGTATGATAAACCTGAATATTCGCTTTCTAATTCAGTTAAGAACAGAGAGAACTGTCGCTGATTTAAACCTCGAGATCTTATGAAATTGATGAATTTTTGATAGGTGTCAACACATTTTCCATTTTTATTACCTTCGTACATAATACTTCCTGATGTATAATGCAATGCGTATGATGAATATTGGAACCATCAGAAATTTCACTTAGTTTTTTTCGCAGTAATGCTACGAAACCGTTGGTTTTTCCAGTCATTGAAAGAGCTCCATCTGTTGCTACAGAAGTCAATTTTGATTGAGGTAAATTGTATTTTTGCAGAAGATCATAAACGCAATTAAATATATCTTCTCCTGTAGTAGTGCAATGCATCGATACTAGTTCCAATAATTCCTAAAAAATGTTGAAATCCGTGTCGCAAGCTCGAAAAAAAAAAAAAAAAACAGCTAACTGAGCTACGCCCCCAAATGTCCGCACTCTCATCACAGGCAATGGAAAATGCTTCGAAACAAGATGATTTTTCTTTTATCTAATCATTTAAATTTCTGGCCATATTAGTAACTCTTTCCACAACGGTATTTCGAGACAAAGATATTGCTTGAAACGTCTTCACACTTCCAGGACAAACAATTTCTGCAGCTTTAAACATTCCTTGATGAAATCACCTTCAGTAAAAGGTTTTGAGTGTTTAGCTATCATCTCCGATAAAACGTAGCTTGCATGCACCGCCGCTTCACTCTCTTGTGATACTTTAGTAAACATAAACTGTTGTTTTTTCATTCCCAACTTGAACTCTTTTAACTTTTCTTGTCTCATTAAACCTTTGTAGGTATCATATTTTGATTTATGTTGTTCATAATGACGTTTAATGTTATATAATTTTGGTACACTAATAGCATTATTACATATCAAGCAGATGATTTTATCTTTTACTTCAGAGCAAAAATACTCTAATTCCCACTTTTCTTGAAAATTCCTATGTTCGTCAGCAATTTTTCGTTTAGTTTTACTGCCACTTGGTTTTGATGAAGACATATTGAATACAAAGGTCTGAAAAAAAATTAGTAATCGCTAACACAAAATAATAAAA